GTGCGTGCGTGCGTGTAAGCAGTTTTATATTTTAATACGCATGCGCTAAAATCAGACTAGATTCAGTGTTTCTGTACGTCAGTTCAGTAACATATCACAGATGTCCTAAATGAGGTAAAAAAAACGTGGCACACAAGACGCAGTTCAAGGTGATTTCAGCCATGTGCCTCTCCTCCAGTACATCATAAGTAAGGACCAATCAAAATACGCGCGTAATTTAGCTTATCGTATGGATAGTACCAGCTAAATCCTGATTGCATCTCACCTTTTATCATAATATCTTTTATGTCCTCGCATTAATGGTGATGCAGAAATTTAATAAACAGTTCTACCCTTTTTGTAATGACTTATCAGTTGTCGCTATTTCTTGACAGGTAAGTATTGTAGCCCGACAACAAGGTGGAAAATTATCACATTATCACACAAAATCTGGCGATTCATTGGAGCTTCTCTATCCTGGAGAAATGAGTGCTGAGGTGAGCCAACAGTGCGGAATTTTTTCACATGTCCAGAGGATTTTCTCTCTTTGAGTGTTTCCTCGTTTCTTCACCCCAAACCTGACAATGGCAAAAATATTACCTGAACACTCTACTTTCGTGATAATCAATCTGTATGTCCCAAGATCTAGAACCTCTACCTATGGCGACAGATCCTTTGCGTGTGCATTCCCCGTGCTTTGGAAAAAACTTCCTGATTTTATACGGTATTCCCAAAACTTTAGATTCCTTTAAAACCAGGCTCAATACTCACCTTTTTAAGATCGCTTTTTATTTATAGTTAATTTTTATCTTATTTTGTAATTACTTTAAATCTTATGTAAAAGCATTGACACTTGTGTATAATGCGTTTTTGAGAACTGTATTATTATTATTATTGTTATTATTATTATTACTATTATTATTAATTTATATCCTTAATCAAGAAGACTTGCTGGAGGCAGCGTGGCCGAGTGGTCAGCGTGTCGGACTCGCAATCCACCACTCCCGGGTTCGAGTCCCCGCCCTGACCACTACCTGGATTTGTTTTACGGAAGCTCCGAGTCAGTTCTAATCCTCGGCCTCGCTTATAAATAGCCAGTTGGGATTCTTAACAATGTTA